CCCACAACATGATGCCGCCACCACCATGCTTCCCTGCTGGGATGGTATTGAGCAGGTGATGGACAGTGCCCGATTTTCTCCAGACATAACTTTTAGTACTGAGGCCAAACAGTTCAATCTTGGTTACATCAGAGCAAAGAATCTTATTCCTTATAATCTGAGAGTCCTTCAGGTGCTTTTTTGCAAACTCCAAGCGGGCTTTCATGTGTTTTACACTGAGGAGAGACTTCCTTATAGCCATTCTGCATAAAGACCATCGGGTTCTTAGTCATCTCTCTTACTAAAGCTCTTCTCCCCGACTGCTCAGTTTGGCAGGATGGACAGTTCTTGGAAAAGTCTTGGTTGTGCCAAACTTCTTTTATTTGAGAATTATGGAGGCCACTGTACTCTTGGGAACCTTCAGTGCAGCCTTTTTTGTAGCCTTCCCCAGATGTGTCTTGCAATGATCCTGTCTCTGAGCTCTGTGGGCAGTTCCTTTGACCTCATGGCTTTTGCTCTGATATAGTATGCATTGTCAGCTGCGAGAACTGTTATGGAGAGCTGTGTTCCTTTCCAAATCATATTAAATTAAATTAGTTTACCACAGGACTCCAATGAAGGTGTAGAAACATCTCAGCATTAATTGAGAGAAACGGGAAGCACCTGAGTGTTGCTGCAAAGGGTCTGAATAGTTATGCTGATGTAATATTTAAATTTTTCCTTGGGTAGCCACCGCATTCTATGTGTGAGGTAAATGCCTAGGTGCTCACCACAAAGAATTCCATATAAACCAAAACCAAGGTAGAAGCATTCAAAGATCTTGCAGTAGAGATAAATCAATACAGGTTTTGTAGAGTATTAGATGGGATGAAGCCTCCTGCTCTGGGTCCACATTTCACCAGCAGCCAGCATCCTGATTGTGCAGGTATGCACAGCTCTCTGAGAATGGGTGTTGACTATGGTTCAGGGCTCCACCTAGGAAACAGGTCTCTGACCAGATGTCAGGGTAAAGGCCAGTGCAAAAGAGCGCCTAAGGTGTGTATATGAGCACAGAACTTCCATGAGACTGTCTGAAGGATACAGACAGGGGCCTACAGATTGAGGGCTTGGGACCAGATCCTAAATGCACTGAGTTACTGTCATGTGATTGGCTGATTAGCAATCTGTGTTACCAAGGAACAGGTGTACCTAATAAAGTTGCCCCTGGGTGTATATAGAGAGTATATATTTATAAAACTAGATTTGTTCTGTTTAAACAGTCTTATTTGCCACATTGCACAGACAGGGTAGACAACCTTGGTCCAAGTTTACTGCACACTGTATCTCCTGGCTGCTGCTTAGACAAAGGTGATGCTGACTGGTTGAGCAGGATTACCTTTAAACTGTGAATTTCAGTTGTGGTTTTTGCAGTTTGCCTGGATTTCCACTCAAAGCCCAATTTCAGTCTTTTAAACTCCTGTCCTCAGTACACTGAGTATCATTCAACCTGGAAGACTGGGGACATCTAGGAATGGAATACATTTACTATGGGGGACAGCGCCGAAGAGGGTATTGCAGCCAATGCTGCTTTTTTTAACCACTAGATCCCCAGGATCTAGTGGTTAAAATTCTGACATTCCTCTCCTACATGAAAGAAATTCAGCTTTTTTTGCTCGAAAATTACTTGGAACCCTCAAACATTATGAACAGTGTTTTTTTTAGCAGAGACTCTAGAGAATAAAATGGTGGGAGTTGCATTTTTTAATGTCACACGGTAATTGCGCAGCGTTTCTTCAAATGCAATTTTTTTTGGGGAAAAATACACTTAATTGAACTTTAATGCACAAACACACAATATAATACCCAGTTGTTAAATATAAAACATGATGTTACGCTAAGTAAATAGATACCCAACATGTCACGCTTTAAAACTGCGCTTGCTTGTGGAATGTTGACAGACTACGATACCTGAAAATCTCCATAGGCGACACTTACAAGCCTACCAGTTTAGAGTTAGTGGTCTGGGGCTATAATTATTGCTCTTACTATAACTTTCGCGGCGATACATCACATGTGTGGTACAAACACTGTTTACATATGCATGTGGGACCTTTATGCGCGTTCGCCCTTTCAGTATTTTACATTGTATTATTTATCTATTTTTTTACACTGACTCTTAATTTTTTTTTTTTTAATTGGATCACTTCTATGGCTATCACAAGGGATGAACAACATTTCTAGTGAAAACTGAAACAGTGACAGGTCCTCTCCTCTGCCCTTCAAAGCATCACATCAAACCCAGGACAATTTCAACGTGATGCTTTTATAGGCTGGTACTGGTCTGTTTACATTAGACTGGAACTGGAAGCAACAATACTCAGACCGTAGAGATGATCAGGGACATTCCGGTCCTTGGTCATCTCTATGGTCAGCCAGCAGAACTGCTGGCTTCAGTCCTGGGCTCCCTGTTGGGATGGGAGAGCCCAGGAAAGCAGCGTGAGGGGGAACCCATTTCTACTGCCTGTAAAAGCAATCCAGTGACTAATTAGCAGCTCGGATCACTTTTACATTGTACAGCATCGGTGGCTAAAAAAAATGTACTGAGGTCATGACTGCAGCTGCAGCCATGGTCCCGGTATAACCAATCAAACCAGAGGACATAAAGGTACCTTGTTGGTCAGCAAGTGGTTAATGACCCTGTCATTTCCAAACATATTCTAAATAGGCATACCTGCAAAAAGAGACAGTGGATACTTACCCTCCTACTGCCTATGGTACCAAGACTCCACTCTGTTCACGAGGAATTATCTGAAGAATCCTTTAGGAAATTAAAACTTCTGAGAGTGCCAAACTCCTGATCCCTTGCAGTACTCAGTAATCCCTTCCTCTGCTTTAACTAAGGATGCTAAGGATGGGTTATTAACCACTTGACCTCTGGAAGGTTTTACCCCCTTCATGACCAGGGCATTTTTTTTTGCTATTCAGCACTGCACTATTTAACTGGCAGTTGCTCAGTTATGAAACACTGTACCCAAATGAAATTTATATTACTTTTCGCACACAAATAGAGCTTTCTTTTGCTGGTATTTGATCACCACTGGGTTTTTTTTTTAATTGTTTGCTATGTAAACAAAAAATAATGAACACTTTGAAAAAAAAACCCAAAAAAAACAGTTTTTAAAAATTTTGCAAATAAAAAAATCTTTCTTTCTTCAAAAATGTAGGCCAAAATGTATTCTGCTACATTTCTTTGGTAAAAATAACCAAAATCATTGCATATTATTTAGTCTGTAAAAAAGTTATAGTCTACAATCTATGGTATATACAGTATATATTTGAACATTGATCAATCCTGATGTACTGACAGCCTCGTCTCATCTAATTTTTTCAGGCCTAAAAATGCCAGGACAGTACAAATAACCCCTTGGTGGAAGGTAGACAGTCCAAGGTGTTTAGTAAGAGGCATGGCGAGTTTTTTTTTGGAATTTTTTTTTTTACCACCAATTCAGTCCAAAATCATCATATGACATTTTACTGGTGTGGCAGTGATCAGGGACACTGACTGGTCACAGTATGTATAAAAAGAGGGGAAAAAAAAAACCTATTTTTTTATTCGATTTTTAAAATTGTTTTTTTTTTTTAACATATTTTTTTACATACTTTCATCAGAGCAGTTCAATGTCACCGTATGGCACTGCACTACTTTGGGGGGTGATCAGGGATTTTTTTTTTTTTTTGCAAGTTGTTATTGCTTATAACAGTGATGATCACTGCTATAAGCAATAGTTTTAGTTGTCATGAATGGCTATCCCAGAGTTTAGCTTTAAACATTTAAACTTTTGTTTCTTGTTCCCTACATTTTATTTTTCTGCTATATAGTAAAGCCGAAATGACAACTTCCTGCATCCACACAAGAAATGTGGATGTGAGAATCGCCCCCACTGCACTATTGTATTCTGACAGCGGGTGCTCCCCTGTCCCAGATTAGTGCTGCAGCCACTGGCTGCATGCTCTGGTCGAATGCTGGTTTTCCAGCAGGAGTGTTCAACAGAAGCCAGCCTAACGACCAGTTTCTGTACAGAGAGCGGTACACATGGACACTGCTGAACGGCTGAATTCGATTTGTCTATACCGTGCTTCATTCAAATTGGAGAGTAAATAAATACAAAATAATTACAATAATAAATAAACCCTAGATAAAGCAGGACCTGAGACAGAAAAACAAATCAAATGGCTGTCATCTTCATCCTTCATTCACTACTTGGTCCCTACATGGGAAAAAGAAGGTGCATAACAGCTGTCCTGTCACTTCATTGGCTGCATGCTTGTTGTAGGTAAGTGACTCCCCTAGCAGTAAAAGGAGGATAAGAATGACAGATCTAGAACCTAATCTTAAAAACAAACAGCAACTGCATATTTCTTTCATGATAGATTTCCTTTGAAATTTAGCTGTAGCCACATTTTTTTGTATTTGAACACAATGTGGAAAATGTAGCATCTCTTTTAGGTTCTTATCGCTATGAGTGTCCCCATTGGAAACTTTTGCTACCTGATTGACAGACACAATAGGCGGGAGAAACACACTGCTTAAAGACTACAACAGACTAGCATTTCACAAAATAGTGAGAAATTTAAGTGGAAACAAAACTGTGAGCAGGCAGGTTCTTTATAGCAGAAGAGTCATACAATGTCTCCTCTGCAATATAATAAACCTGCCTGTTCGCCATCTTCTTTTAAATGTATGCTGAGCTGCGCATGAGCAGCTCAGTTTGTATTCAGGCACAGGTACTGTATACTGGGATGCCTGAACTCCTGGACATGTGCAGCAGTGATGTCATCCTGTTCCGGCCAATGAAGATGCCCACAGCCTGGCGCCCGGAAGATGCTGGCACTGGTAAGGGAACTCGAATTCTTAAAGCAGAGATAAGTATTGTGGACTTCTTCTTTAATTTTTTAACAGGGACATATATAGCAATAAAAGCCTGATAGTAATTGTAAGCCTTCCTAGCACTATGGGCAATAGGAGGTATTTAAACACATACCTGCGTAGTTCTTTTTCCACCTGCCGCTGGTAGAGAGCGCCCTCCCCGTAATATCGCTGTGGCATTCAGTTTTACTGGTACATTGTCCATCTGGGAATACAAATAGGCATGTTAGTGTACTATCAGCTGAATCTAGACAGGAATGGCAATTCTGTATAATTTTGCTCACAATGGATACACACTATATTGCCAAAAGTATTGGTCGGCCTGCCTTTACACGCACATGAAGTTTAGGGGCATCCCAGTCTTAGTCCGTAGGGTTCAATATTGAGTTGGCCATCCTTTGCAGCTATAACAGCTTCAACTGTTCTGGGAAGGCCGTCCACAAGGTTTAGGAGTGTGTCTATGGGAATGTTGGACCATTCTTCCAGAAGCACATTTGTGAGGCAGCCTATCACAGTACCACGCTTGAATTCACTGAGCTCCTGAGAGCGACCCATTCTTTCACAAATGTTTGTAGAAGCCGTCTGCATGCCTAGGTGTTTGATTTTATACACCTGTGGCCATGGAGATGATTGGAACACCTGAATCCAATGATTTGGAGGGGTATCCCAATACCTTTGGCAATATAGTGTATATGTACAAAGCTAGTGAAAAGTAACATCTGTCATGGATGCAAAACAATCAGACACCCCATTATTAAAGGATAAGTTCACATTTTAGTAAAAAATATTAAATGCATATTTTTTTTGCAGATCTGGGAGGAAATACCCCAGGACACCATCCGTCGTCTCATTAGGAACATGCCCCGACGTTGTCAGGCATACATACAAGCATGTGGGGGCCATACAAACTATTGAGTAGCATTGATTTTCGGGGTGTCTTTGAATTCAGTCCTCTTTAGGTTGCTAATTTTCATTTCCATCAAACGATGGGGCATCCTTATGTTCCGAACACATTACCCATTCCATATCAGTATAGATATCCAGCATGATATTTTTTCCCCATTGAGATCTGATGTGTTTTCAAAGTGTTCCTTTAATTTTTTGTGCTCTATAATATATGATATCTGGATAATACGTTAGCTTCTGTATCTGTTTTATTATTCAGACTTCCTTTAATGTCTCATCAGAGCTTATCCTTTTTAATTTGGATCAAGATTCAATTAGATAAAAAAAAAAAATAATCTTATCATTTTTCTAGTATTGGCTGTAAAACTAAGCATTGCTAAATACTGGAATCAGATCAGAGTACCTGCATTAGGGAATGGTTGTTGCTTATTTTGGCCCTGGCTGATGTTTTCCCTTGCCGACAAGGATATAGTATTAATTAAGTGATAAGCTTTTACCTTCTTTATCGACACTTGCTGAGCTTTTGTTTTATTAAAAGCCAGTTTATTATCGTCTTCTTTCATTATTTCTGACAAAACACGCTACAAAGAGAAAAAAAGAAGACATTTTACTAACCATATCATTTAAAGTAGCAATAGCAAATAAAGAATTATGAGATAGCAACTGAATTTCCTACGCTTACGGACTGGCTTAGATATACAGTATCCAAACTACTGGCTTGTGCCACCAATGGAATGATGATCAATATATATTGCTGTGAGATTATTAATATGGCATCCACTGCATAGGGCTGTTTGGTAAATATATCTTTTTGGAAGACTACAATGGTAATACCTCATGACTAGGGATCAGCTAAGGTTCCCATGAAAATCTCACATAAAAGCAAGCCGCCGTCTCAATCAGATGCGGCCAAGAAATTCAGATGCATGTAACAAAGGGACAGTGATGCTGTTGATGTCATTAAACTAATAGGTCTATACGGCCATATTTGGACATTCTCATTGACCAAATATTACCATGCGGCCATTTTAGGTCAATGACATCACCAGCATCGCCATCTTTTTTTTTATATGCGGCTAGGGGATGGGGAAACTCCATGTCCACAGAGGTTGAGGCTGGCGGCAAACTATTATGTGACAGTTTCCCGCAGGTTAATGATGAACAGAGTTTGGTCCAAAACTTCATCCTTACTCATGACCTTAACGATTTTGGGAAGCTCCTTCCTTGTCCTAGGGGTGTGTCTTTGGACAAAGTGTGTTTCTTAAAGTGTTACTAAACCCAGGACCCTGCATTCATATTATATCTGGTCTCCCACAGTACACAGAACATGTAAGTGCAATTATTTTAGTAGTTATAAACTGGTAAAAACCTTTTCTCATCAGCGGTATATAGCAGTCTTGTGACTTCTATTAGTGTCCAGCTGAACACTGGTTAATCTTGTAGGAGGGGTTTTCATTCACCTCTGACTGTCCTATGAGGCTGCATGACCCCTGACCCTCTGTCTTGGCCCTGTGCCAATCACATGCACCCTCCCAAAAAAACTTTCTAGCAATACACACACAACTGAACATGTGCAGAATGTCTTCTAGGGCTCTGTACTATCAGCAAATGGATTGGGGACTGTAGAAGAAAGGGAAGGATCAGAGAAGACAGGACCAAACAGCATTTTTACATAATGCGGAGGATTAACCCCTTAGGTTTCACAGTGGGTATAACAAGCATGCTTTACTGTATATACTGACTGATTTTACTGTTGTGGGTTTAGTAACACTTTAACTGCCATGAAGAAAAAGGTGGCCAATGACCTGCCTGTCCTGTCTGGCAGGGGTGTCTGGATCAGTATAGTATATATATTTTTTGGAGAAATACATGTTTTAAGTGGACAGGCTTCAAAGGTGAACTCTGGACACAAAAGGACATCAAAGGCAGATTGCAGCTTTTGGGAGATACTTTCTTTGATGGTCTAGAAAGGTATGCTCTCATTCTTCCTGTAGTGGAGACTGGCCAGTGCAGCTACTGTGCGTTATACCAATGACAAGTCTCCTACCCACCCCCTGTTGCATCATCACACTGCTGCAGCTTCTGTGGGCATTCCTCTAAACACACAGAGGAAATCCTGTCCAATCTAGTATGGTTGGCATTTGTAGATGATCACTCCGAGAATTTACACTGACGCCACAAAAAAAAAGAAAAAAAAAAAAAAAGGCGAATTACCTTCCCATCACCCAGAATTTACACTGACGCAGAAAGCATTACCTTCCCATAGACTAGTGTGATTCAGATCTGGATCATGCTGATATGCTTTGTGTAACTGCAGATTTTGGTAAGTAAAATAGGCCGTTTCTGCTTTTTTTTTTTTTTCATTATTATATTGGGTTGCAAATATTAGAGATATACTCTAGAGCAGCAATGGGCAAACTACGGCCCGCGGGCCGTATACGGCCCGCGGACCTTTTAATCCGGCCCGCGGAGCTAGGCTCCCGCTAGGCTCCTCTCACAGTCCGCCCTGAAGACCGGGTGTAGCATGAAAATCTGTCTCCTATGAGGATCTGTCCCCCTCGACGTATCTGCGCATGTGCCGGAGATCGCCGATCGGCTGCTAATGCCTGAAACTGGCACATGCGCAGATACGTCGAGGGGGACAGATCCTCATAGGAGACAGATTTTCGTGCTACACCGGAACGGCGCGGGAACACGGCGAGAGGAACGCGCGGAGCAAAGGTAAGTGAATTGACACAGGGGGACTTGGGGACTTAATATGGGGGATGAATTAATATGGGGAATGAATTACTATAGGGGGGATGAATTACTATGGGGTATGAATTACTATATGGGGGATGAATTACTATATGGGGGATGAATTACTATGGGGGATGAATTACTATGGGGGGGATGAATTACTATATGGGGGATGAATTACTATATGGGGGATGAATTACTGTGGGGGATGAATTACTATGGGGGATGAATTACTACATGGGGGATGAATTACTATATGGGGGATGAATTACTATGGGGGATGAATTACAATATGGGGATGAATTACTATGGGGGATGAATTACTATATGGGGGATAATTACTATGCTTACTATGGGGGAATATTACTATACTTACTATGGATGACACATACACATCATTCATCTACTCTTGGTCCGGCCCCCGGGTCCAATATATGAACCCATTGCGGCCCTCAAGTCAAAAAGTTTGCCCACCCCTGATCTAGAGGAAGCCAGGAGTGTGTCTATTAGATTGCCCATAATTCAGCTCTAAGGTTTTGTTTCCCCTTGCATTGGTTTCTGAAAAGTGATCCGCTGAAGCAGGTGTACAACTTCATCCTGCTACCATGTTAATTTAAGGTGGGCGTTGGAGGGGAAAAGGGAAGTGGGGAAAAATATGGGTCAATCGCCTCCATGACTGCAAGTGTAAATGAGTCCTACAAGTTTATCGGTGGTCTCCATTCCCTCTTTCAAGAGACCCTGTAACCAGACCTCACATTTTAAATGAAAGTCTTGCGGCAGTAGAGGATAATACACTTGCAGGTTTCCCCACTTAAAGTGATAGAAAACTCCACTTTTTCACTTGTACCTACAGATAAACATCTAATAAGGCTTTACTGTAGTACAGTGACTATCAACTAAATTTGCATGTTTTACAGATATTCACAGTTGAAGTAGCTGGCGATGTCACTGGTGAATGCACTGAACGTGCCGTAAATTCAGAGCTTTGTGCCCTGTGACTCCAGTGCGGCCATTCAAATGGCTGGAGAGAGCGAACCTGGAAGGAAGACTGGGTTAAGATAGAAGCGCTAACAGCCCTCCACTGGAGGGCTTCATTTTACAGGTAAGTCTGTCATAATCTGCAGGGAGACCATTTTTTGTCTTTTTTTTTTATGCTTCCATAAATTTTTATTCTTGAGTTTCAGACATCGGACGTCAATACAAGTCAGTCTAATGACAGACAAGAGAATGAATGCATATAGTCAATCTGGTACAGTCTAGCGTATAGTATAAAGTTACAGAGCGCTATCCAGAGTTCTCAAGAAGTCATTAGGACGGAGGAAAACAAAAAAACATCCAAAAAGAAAAACCTGCAAAAACATGCACTAAAATCCATACATCAATATTGAGATATATAAGGATCATATAAAGCATTCTAAACCAAAAATCTTACTCAGCTGTAACCATGTTGACCACTTATGGTGGAAAATTTGGATACCTGGGTAGTATAGGCTAAGAACCGCTCACAGGTACACCGAGTGTTGACCCTGTGTGTTGACCTGTGACTTCTGAAAGATTATTGGCTGGGGTTGTCTTCCACCTATTGATAATGGTCAATCTTGCTGCAATTAAGATGTGTGATGCTATGGTTCTGTATTGACTTGGGAACATATCTATAGTTAGGCAAAATAATGCCAGATGCAGTGAAGGGCTTATTAACATGCCTCTTAACCATTCTTGTAAGGAATCTTCAGGGTAGATTTTAGATCATTGTGAGGGGTCATATAACCTCATTGTAGGATATTGAAAGCATTCTCTCCCAGTGATTTACACAGTGAGTAGAGGTATTACTGTGAATGATCGCTTTTTGCCAGTCAGAAGAAAGGAATTCACTTCCCATATCTCTCTCCCACTTAAGAATAGTGGATATCTTGATAAAGAGTCCACTATACTGAAGAAAATTGTAAAACCAAGTTATATCTCCCTTTGACAAAGACATAGCAGTAAGAAACTGTAGTCTTAGGTTCCAGATGCTTAATCAGATATCTATGATGAAAATGTTTAAAAAAGGGAATCTTGACAAAGAACACAGCGCAGCACAGTGGCTAAATGAATAGCACTTCCGCCTGGCAGTACTAGGGTCATTGGTTCAAACCCCAGCCACGGCACCACCTGCCTGGAGTTTGCACATTCTCCCTGTGCCTGCGTGAGTTTCCTCTGGGTACTCCGGTTTCCTTCCACACTCCAAAGACATGCTCATAGGTTAATTTGGATCCTGTCTAAATTGGCCCTAGTATGTGTATGTATGAATGTAAGTTAGGGACCTTAGATTGTACACCCCTTGAGGGTTAGGGACTGATGTGAATGTACAATATATATGTAAAGCGCTGCGTAAAATTGACGGTGTTTATATAAGTACCTGAAATAAATAAGAACAGTGGCAGCAGGCTTTACACACTGTTTAGACGGTTTAATTATCCCCATCACAGCATTTAAACCGATTATTCATACTACCTAATTGCCCGCATTGCACCACAAATACAGGCACCCTTATACATATGTTGTGGCGATATCCCAAACTACACCATTACTGCACTGCCATTTTCCAGACACTCAAGTGTTTGCTCTATTCCCATCCAATTGGATCCTAAAGTTGCTATCGGTATTATCCCGAAAGATATTCTTCCAGTACAATATAGCCTTGTGTGGACTAGGGACCTATACTTAGCACGTAAACTAATATTCCAAAGGTGACTCTCATCCTAAACGCTGTCACAATGGAGATGTGCTTCTACGAAGGGAAGATCTGACTTAAAAACGTAGAGGCTGTTCAAACAAATTTTGGAAACTATGGGACCCATGGCTATCCTCTACCAACTCTATGTTTGTTATGCCAGTAGACACCCCTACTAGTTAATACAAAGGGTAAAGTGTAAGCCCAATAGTCTCAGGAGGGTTTAATAGTATATTACGTTCCATAAGTTTCTAAAACTCTGCCAGCCCCGCAGTAAAGTTTATGGTTAAATGTTCAAATTGGTATGTCCCCTGGAGTAAGATGTGATGTGCAGAAATATTCCTTATTGTCGATAAAATACTGTCTGCCTTTTGTTTTATTCTAGTATGTATGAATATTCTAACTCTGTTTTTAAGGGTTGTTTGGGGCAACTGCTTTGATTGTGTTAGTTTCTTCTGTAAAGCAATAGAAGAAAAATGTTTCAATAACAATTACCTGAGTTAAAAAAAGGGAATCTGCCTAAAAACAACTTAGTCCAATGACAAAGATACACAGCATGGTATCCTGCCTGTCATCCACCCGCTTCAACACATTTCACCCTATGAAAGGGCGTAATCATAGAGACTGTTTGTAAATGTTTATGACATCATTGGTGTGAGGTCCGTTTTATCCTATGATATTTATGGGGGAAGAGGGGGTTGCTGATATTAACAATATGTGGCAAGGGTCATCCCCTCCCTCCTAGATTGTAAGCTCGAAAGAGCAGGGCCCTCGATCCCCTCATGTTTTGCATTGTATTGGTATTGTTCTGTCACATGTTCTGTTCCCCTCTGTAATGTACAGCGCTGAGCGAACTATTGGTGCTTTATAAATACTGTATAATAATAATAATAATTTAAATGGGATGGCAGGACCCCAGCCTGCTAGAAGACCATAACCCATATTTGTGTTGCCACTTCTACTACCTGCATCCCAGGAACTATTCCTATTTCCGGAACAATGTTAGAAGATGTTCCATCTACCATCTAAGCACCAACATTTTCTTCCTGGACTTTATTCTGAACTGACAGCTTTTTAAAATGCTCTTTTGCCATTACTTGCCACTACAACATAACCATGGCATGTAGAAGCAGGCTATTACTTAAGCAGAGTTCCCCACATCCCTGTGTGCACCTTGACTCACCTTGGTTTTCTCTGATTTCTCTGCATTAGCACACTTAAACTGTGCCACATTTGCTTCTATCAGGAGCTCCTGAAATACACAGAAGAGAAAATACATTTGAAAATGCCACTCTGATGCATGATGGTTAGAAATTATATACAGTATATAACCACAACTTTTTTTAATTAAAGTGATTGTATAGCTAAAAGGTTTTTTTTTTAAATAACAAACATGTCATACTTACCTACTCTGTGCAATGGTTTTGCAGAGCAGCCCTGATCCTCCTCTTCTGGGGATCCCCACCTGAGCTCCTGGCTCCTCTCCCCCATGAGTGCTCCAATAGCAAGCCTCTTGCTATGGGGGCACGCATGTGGGCTTGCTCCTGAGTTGTGGTCTTGGTGTTCACTGACATACACAGCATGTCTTGTACCTGCCCCCCCCCCCCCCTCCTGGCTATGATTGACATTAGCGGGAACCAATGGCTTCCACTGTTGTGTCCCAGCCAATGAGGAGGGAGAGAGCTGTGAGAGCCACTGATCTTATCCACAGCACTTGATGGATCAAGCTCAGGTAAGTACTGTATAAGAAGAAACAGAGAATGCATTAAGGTAAAAACCCTTCAACCTTTAAAACCACTTTAAGGATAGAGTAGAGAAGTATTAGAGCTCCTGTCAGTTTATTTTTTGCTGTGTACTGTTAGAGAGATTTCCCTTCACTTCCTGTCCCAGAGATGCGACAGGAAGTCCAAAGAAATCACTACAAAGTGAAGGGGATCCCCTTTCATACAGTCCTCACTGCAGCAGGTGTTCTTGTTGGTAGAATGGTCCCCCCCTCTTGTTCTGTTATTCATAAGAGCTGTGAAAACTTTGCATAGACTCCCTCAAGAACTAGCCCTGGCCAGCTCACTAGATTGTTTTAAAAAGAGCTGGATGCATCACCAAATGCAATAAATAACTGAATATTAACATTTATAGGTGAAAACACCAGATATTGCTGATCCAGGGAATATCTGATTGCCTCCTGGGGGATCCGGAAACTATTTATTTTTTCCCCACTGGAGCAAATTAGACCATACTTCATGGGGGGTTTCGGCCCTTCTCTGGATCAACTGTAGGTATAGAATTGTGTAAATGGAGATTTTCCATTTTTTTCTTTTCTTATTGGTTGAACTAGGCCAGGCCTGGCCACTTCCGGCCTTTTGGCTGTGTCTATCTGACCTTCGATGCCTGCACTATCAGCATGCAGGTGTCGGTGTAGAGAGCTGCAAGAACTGGAAAGAGGGAGCCTTAGGAGCTGATCAATACAGCTTGGAGGCTAGGATATCATTGCCTAGAAGCCATCCCACCACTATGCTACCTGGCCAAGTTCTTCCTGTGTTAGTACCTGAACGCTGCAAACCTCAGGAGCTGTGCACTTCTTCTTCATTCCAAGTAAAGATCTACAGAAATCCTTGTGCTGTACTGATCTAAGGCTCTCCCATTTCAGTCACAATGGCTCAGCCATCCATTTTTACCACCTCCTGATCAGCCATCTAAAAGAGACCTATTTCAGGAGCAGTTGTACCTATTATGCCAAGTGCCAGGTGTTTGTTTTCTATATGTTTACATACTTATGGACCTTCCCAGGTCAAAAATGAATATTGAGCAGAATTAAGTTCGGCCCTCTACAACAGTCCCAGTTTCTCATGTGGCCCCTTGGGAAAATTAATTGCCACCCCTGAACTAGATGGGCTTGTCTTTTTTTTTATAAAAACCTAACTACAAAACTAAAAGTTTGGATTACTTTCTGTGCCAGCGACAATGGTCACCAGGACAATAAGAAAAGATGAATCTACCCCAAGGTGGCACAAACAGCAAGAAACACTTGACAGGGGTTCTAATCGTTCTCTGCTCTTTAAAAAAATAAGGTTTTGCTTTACATACACTTAAATATACCAAAAGCACTCATACTCAACCAGAAAACAAGTGTTCTGTGTGCCCTGATGTGTTGAAAAATCTCTGTAGGTGATAATAAGGGATTCCAATGCTCATTACCTGCTACTGAAGCATAAATCCCAACAGTGGTTGCACTGTACTGTTGTGACCCATGAACCTCTGTTACATATATCATTAAAATGTAGAATACAGTGGACACTTTTGGGCATTTGTAAAAAAAAAAAACATACTGTAAAGTGAGGATTTAAAATAATGCAGTTCTTCATGTGTGCATTAGTTGTGGTCATGTGTACTGCTTCATGCACATTACGCATTCCATAGTCCTTAGTGCATCTCTGAAGGGAGAGAGAGAGGACAGCTATGTTCCTATATACTGTGGGGCCATGAAGAACAAACGTAACCATCCTCTAACAGAAATTCATATCACAGCAGCAAAATACAGCGGCCACTCTATTAATTATACCTTTCTAGTAGCAGGTTGGACCCCTTTTGCCTTCAGAACTGCCTTGGTTCTTGGTGGCATAGATTCAAAAGGTGTTGGAAAAATTCCTCAGAGATTTTGGTCCATATTGACATGATGGCATCACGCAGTTGCTGTAGGGTTGTTGGCTGTACATCCATGATCTCCCATTCCACCACATCCCAAAGGTGCTCTATTAGATTGAGATCTGGTGACTGTGGAGGCCATTGGAGTACAGTGATCTCATTGTCATGTTCAAGAAACCAGTTAGAGATAATTTGAGCTTTGTGATATGGTGCATTATCCTGCTGGAAGTAACCATCAGAAGATGAGTACACTGTAGTCATAAGGGGATGGACATGGTCAGCAACAATACTCAGGTAGGTCGTGGCGTTTAAATGATGCTCAGTTGGTACTCAAGGGGTCCAAAGTGTGCCAAGAAAATATCCCCCCTGCCATTACACCTCCACCACCAGCCTGAACCGTTGATACAAGGCATGACGGATCCATGCTTTCATATTTACCCCAAATTCTGACCCTACCATCTGAATATCGCAGCTGAAATCGAGACTCATCAGACCAGTCAACATTTTTCCAAAATTCTATTGTGCAATTTTTGGTGAGCCCATCTGAGAATTGTAGCCTCTGATCCTTGTTCTTAGCTGACAGAAGTGACACCCGGTGTGGTCTTCTGCTGCTGAAGCCCGTCTGCTTCAAGGTTCGACATGTGCGTTCAGAGATGGTATTCTTCATACCTTGGTAGCAACGAGTGGTTATTTCAGTTATTGTTGCCTTTCTATCATCTCGAACCAGTCTGCCCATTCTCTGACAGCAACAAGGCATTTCATCATCTACACAACTGCAGCTTGCTGGATATGTTCTCTTTTTCGGACCATTCTCTGTAAACCCTAGAGATGGTTGTGTGTGAAAATCCCAGTAGAGCAGCAGTTTTTTAAATATTCAGATCAGCCTGACTGGCACCAACAACGATGCCACATTAAAAGTCACTTAAATCCCCTTTGTTTCCCATTCTGATTTGCGGTTTGAATTTCAGCAAGTCGTCTTCACCACGTCTAGATGCCTAAATGTGTTGAGTTGCTGCCATGTGGTTGGCTGGTTAGCAATTTGTGTTACCAAGCAATTGAACAGGTGTACCTAATAAAGTGATAGGTGAATGTATATAGGAAAAACGTTGCTAAGTGGTTAGCACTCCCACCTGGCAGCACTAGGGTTGTCAGCTCAAATCTCAACCATGGCCCTACCTGCTTGGGGTTTGCATGTTCTCCCTGTGCAGGTTTCCTCCAGGTACTCCAGTTTCCTCCCACACTCCAAAAGACATGCTAGTAGTTTAATTGACTCCTGTCTAAATTGACCATATTATGTGTATGTATGAATGTGAGCTAGGGACCTTAGATTGTAAGCTCTTTGAGGGCAGGGACCGATGAATAATATATATGTAAAGAGCTGCATACATTTTTGGAGCTATATAAATACCTGTAATAAATAAATATACATAGATCTACAGGACAGTGCTGTTACAGCTTTGCCACTGGGTGACAGTGTTCTAAAGCAGCTTCCAGTTGCGCCTATAGTTTTGATTGCAGAGCATAAAGGAGCAAGAAAGCGCAGTAATCTGCAGCTACCAGAGATAATCATTGGCACTAATAGGACTAATTAAACTAAACTATAATATGATGCATATTAGTTCAATAAGCTTCTTATTTTTAACTTTTATACCTACATCGTCACCCATAATCTGTACTTCTGTCCTGTCAATCCTTAAGCCTCGTACACATGATCAGCAAATCATATGAAAAATACAGCTTTACGAAGATTATCGTAGGATAATCGGATCGTTAGTACACGGCTTTCAACAACCAGCCACAACAGTTTTTTCAAAATTGTCCAAAGGGACAAACAAAAGGGACAAGAAATTTTTCTCGTACAATACCAGATTGCACCATTTCCGTTTAATCAGCACCGTCTTCATCTGAAAATACAATATATTACATCACTTCCAAAATTCTATTCTGTTGTACGAGAATTTTCCTAAATTGAGTAACCTCCTTATTTTTATATGGAAACTAGTATGCAAGAAGAAAACGGATGATCGTCCGATTTTATCGTTGTGTGTACGAGGCTTTACAGCACATAATCTGGGAATGGCTCTCATGTCTGCTTTCACAGTGCTGCCCGTCTTTGCTCTCCTGCCTGTCCATGTTTGCTCTGTTTCTATAGTGCAGCCTATCTAATCTCCCAGCTCTGTATCACTGCCTTGTCACTATGATGTCTCTGTGGCCACCCAGTTTTTGTATGTTGGGCTGAGTATTGTATCCAGGATCTGTGTTGAGGACACAATGACCCCTAGATATACAGCAGCTGAGATGCCTGTCCACTGTTTGGCCAAGAGCAAACCATTCTCTACCGCCTATCGGTAATCTAATTAATGGGTATGATCCTATTGACAAATGACACTGTTCATTTGAAAGCCTTTGTATAGAGAACAATTGTCCTTGTGGTGTTCCCAGCCAAGACTTTTATCACATATGCTGACACCTCAGAAAATGCAGTGACAACACTATGCCTTGACAATTAACAGGGAGAGCGCTGCAAGGAATGTATAATAAGGAGCGCAGCATGATGTCCTATGGAATATATAGTCATTCTAGAATCATTCCCAGAGGCTCTGTGATACTGAGGATATGTATGTATCTTGGAGATCAGCCCAACTGGAAATCTGCAAGCCTGGTAAATGTAAGAAGGGCCCATGTGCTGAGCAGTGTCTGGGGGTTAAGCAGGCCATAGATGATACGATTTGCACAAGAAAATAGCTTGATTCCTCCATCAACACAGTCAGTGTTGATGAGGGAATGCCTCCCATGGAGCTATTGTGTTCTGCTGGCGGGGAGGATTCCCTATTGGCAGAACACAATGATCGTTGCTAGCGGCTATAGCCGCCAGCAGTAATCACATACAAATTTGACAGGCTATTTGTACTGAAGTCGATTGATTGATCCCTGCTAAACTGGAGAATCAATTCATCTATTTCCAGCTTTAGTGAGAACTTCTTTGGCCTCTCCAGCCTTGTTAAAGCTGAACATGTTCATGTAAATATATTCCTCAGTAGTCACAAAATACTGTATATAAATCCTCTTTGTGTGCACCAAATGTCTGTGCAATCTGATTACTACCTTAAAAAAGTAGCAGTAACATCATCAATGTGCTCTACATAGCCCTTGCAGAGAACAGAGCTGTGAGAGGAGTCAGGCAGGCCCACCCATTACAGGTTATTTGCAAAAAACTACAGGAGGGGGCGGAGACAAGACCAGTCACCCTGCACAAGGAGAGAGAGCAGCAGTAACTGGTCTTTATTAAAGGAAACATCTGCAGAGAGGCAACTTTCATGCTAGATCACTGCTTATCTTGGAGTTCAGCTTTCAATATAAATCACATTTTTTAAAAAATAAATAAATCTGATTTTTCATTAGGGCTTTAACCACCTGTGTTAATGTATGTTATAGATGATTGCCCACATCCTACTAACACCATCACATCCGACGTCACTTCCGTCCAGCCCTGCTGCTGGCTTGCCTTCAGTATGGTCATGGCCCTCACTGGTGGACACTGTTCAAGCCTTGAATCCCTAATCAGCTGGGTGTCTCTTGCACAACACAGTTGATTCCTGGTTCCATCTGCCAGCACTTTCCTGCGAAGCCCCGCTAGTGACTAAAGACTGATGATGAGCCTGCCTTTCTTCTACGTGTGTGTGCGTATGTGTCCACTTTTTAAACCTTTTTTAATAAACCAATACACTTAAATAGTGGAGCCTTCTGCTTTTTTGTTTATTGTAGTGCACACAGATCATCCAAAACTCTGCTGGATGAGCTGCAGCCATCGTACAAGTGATTCTTGGACCCATAAGTGCACTTATTTACCCTAGGACTTTATTCATTGTTCTTTTTTGTGCCATTGAGTTTGTTTTTCTTTTACACTGTATGTTATATGCTAGGTATTTTTATTTCCAATCCAGTACAGAATATTTTTATCAATAAATTCCAAATACATTATAATATATTATGTTGGAGTTATGGGGAGATGTTAAAAAAGAAAAAACACACACAGAAATGTTCTGGACTCCAGGTCTGCTCTGTTCAAATGGGCCAAACCAGTATCTGTTGTGCTCTCACTTTGGAGAGTACCCATTATAGTTGGGTGCACCCTGTATTAAATGTTTATTTGTAAAGTAAAGATTTTATACATTTAAAAAATGAGAAAAAAAAACAATGGTAAAACCTTTAAAAAAAAAAAATCAAATTGCACTAAAGCCAAAGTTCATATTTTAGAACAAGTCTGTCATATAGATAAAAAATCCTCCTAGATTGTAAGCTCCAAGGAGCAGGGCCCTCCTATCCGTCTTGTATTGAACTGTACTGTTGCTGTATTGTCCTCCCTTTATATTGTAAAGAGCTGAGCAAACTGTTGGTGCTATATAAATCCTGTATAATAATATTAAAAATAATAATAATAATAATAATCTAGTGAACAGATGAGTCTAAGCCCCCGTTCACACTGAATATGACTGGGAAATCGTGCGACTTGACTTCAAGCTGCGCAATTGCAAAGTCTCATGTCAGTGCGACTTCAGGTGCAACTTGTAAGACATCTGTTCGACTTACTAAAAAGATAACTGAATACATTTTGGCCAAGATTTATGAAGAAAAAGATTATTTGAAAAATTTTATAAAAAAAAAGCACTTTTTTGGACTTTAATTATACTGCAAAAAAAAAAATCCCAGTGGTGAATAAATACCACCAAAATAAAGTTTTATCTGCCTCAGAGAAATGCTAAAAAATTCATATGGGTACAGTGTTGCACGGCCCGCGTAATTGTCATTCAAAGTGTGATAGCACTGAAAGCTGAAAATTGGCCTGGACAGGAGGGTGTACAAGTGTCTGGACTTGAAGTAGTTAAAGAGATCCTGCAGGTCCTTAAGGAAATGGCAGCTCCCTGCAAAAGAAGGAGTAGTATACTTATCTCTCCGAGGCCCATAACTTCTACCTCCCCTCTGCTCCAGCACTTCAGCCTGTGTCAGTGTCCTTGACATTGAACAGTTCTGGGAGTGTTTGATGCCTGTGTTCACTGGCCCCCGCCATGGTTCCTTTTTCCCAACCTGATGTCACTACAGTACCCAGCAGTGACACAGAGCTTGAAGAATGGAACTACAGCACATAACACATAGGTGGATAATAATTAACCATTGGAACTGTATAAGTTAATGTGGAAAGACATGGGCTAACAACTGAACCCCAACTCAGGGCAGACATTGATCTATATTTGTCTGTACAGTGGAGAGAAGCACGTACAATCCGCACTAAGCAATCATACCTCCGCTTTCTGGCGATTTTTTTGTTTTTTCTCTTGAAGTATTTCCTGCTCTTTTGGGGTTTTGTAGGTACTCTCAGGAACCTGCATCCAAAAAAAAACAACATAAATTGAATTTACATTAGGTTATGATAAGGAAGGCTTGTCACTAAGAGATTTCTATATACATTGAAACCTGGACACTCCCCACTTTGTTTTACTGCCTGTGGTCTAGAAGCGGATTTTCTTCTTCACTATGGCTCTGTGCACATGAGCATGGTTCTGGTCACAGGTCAATGGGTTTACTGAGTTGACGTTGGGCATCCCCAACATGCATTTTCCCAAGGTGTGCTTGTTAGGATTAGTAAAAAAAAACGAATTTCTGCACAATCTGTGAGATGAATGAGACTATTATATTTCTATGCAAACAAAACCATGCTGTTGACATGGAAATGTTCTTCTGCACCCTCGCTTTCTGAATGGAAATATTTGATTAATAATTGATTATTTTATCCCAGCATACAAATAGGGATCCCACAAAAAATCTGAAAAAATGTTGGGGGTCCATGAATGAGTTCTATGCCACTTGGGCCACTATGGCTGAATAGGGAGACTACATGTTTTGTCTTCATATAATCTACTCTGCTATGTTGTAGTCACCATGGCTTGTCATCTTACTGTTACTTTTGAAGGACAAGAGTTGTGAATTATGTTATCTGTTTTGTTATATTTTATGACTGTTTCTATATCTAAAACTCAAGAAAAAAGCATCTTAAAAGAAAGATATCTATAGATTAGTTTTTGGTTTGTAGAGTAGACTGAAATCACATAGAGACCACTTTTACTAAATAAAGACCAAGTCCAAAATTGTATTTTGTTCTGAACAAAGTGAGGAAGGGATAAATTATCTTTAAAGAATTATCGCTGCCTGTATCCACATTGAGAAGATTTTCCTCTCCCTTCTTGTCCCAATGGTAGGTTGCCATAGGTAGAAGAAATGATGAGACTTTTTTCAAAAGGGAACAGAGTCTTCATGCCCCAGTGAGCCCAGTGGCCCTTGTTTTTTTGTTCTGGTGCCAAAGGAATATAAATTAAGGGGAAATGTCCTCAGTAGAATCAAGGATGACAATAAAAAAAACTAACACCCCCCTGGCTCTTTTATCTCCAACTTCCATCCGAATAGTGGCCACTTGGCGGTCAGATGCATACAAGCTCATGGATGGGTACCCCCCTCTTAACTTTTTCCTCTTTTCCCATCTTCCTTCTGTACTCTCTCACCTCCATGTTTGCAGTTCTGTACTTAGTTGTAATAAGATATACACTCCTTTTTCTCATCTGTTTTGCATTGAGTGACAAGGTGTTCATATAAGTATAGTTCTTTTAGAACGGCCATATACCCATAAATCTCCATGCTGTCCCGAGCTTTCAACTCGGGCCCTCCTTTTCCCTCTTCCTAAAACGGGTGAATTGTTGGGTACTGTATTAGAGCTTGGTTATGTTGATACATATTGATAAGATTTTGTTATAGCTCTTCCTTATTCAATTGACCTTGGATGGGGATGGAACATATGTGGGACAGCAAGCATTAGACTTGAACATCAAGAATATTATGCTTGATTTAGGTGTGTATTGATGGTCACTATTCAGCGATGTGGTAATGTGATCACTGAGTTCTCACCCTTAGATCCAGAGGGGGGGGGGGGGGGGACAGATGCAGCGTCGGACCGATGCTGCATCCACCTAGCTAAGTAGAAATAGGAAAAAAAAAATTCCTACTTACCTTTAAAAGTGTAAGGGTATTGCTGGGAGATTTATTTTTGGATAGTTTTATTTATTATTATTTTATTAGTTATTGATATAGCATTTTGTGCAGTGCTTTACATATTGTATATGAACATCAGGCCCTGCCCTCAAGCAGCCTACAATCTAAGGTCCCTGTCTCACTGCACATACACACACATACTAAGGCCATTTTGAATAAGAACCAGTTAAAGTACCAGCATGTCTTTGGAGTTTGAAAGGGAACTGGAGCATATGGAGGAAACCCACGTAAGCAGAGGGAGAATATGCAAACTCCATGCAGACAGCGCCCTGTCTGGGATTCGAACCAGAGCTCCCCATACTACTGTCTTCTTAGTCACTAATCACCAGGGATTAATTTTATACTGGCTTATATTTTGAGACATCACAAGAAACAAAACATTCAAGCAGGAATAACATTGCAAATTACTTATAGTGGTTGTAAACCCCTAGATATACCCAGGGAAGTGACTGGTCTCAGGCAGATATTTATCTGCAGCTCTCTACATCTGTTCAAAGTGCTGAATTTATAAAGCTTGTCTGAGAGTTCAGGAAAAAGGGGATAGAGAGCTGAAGTTACACTCTGCAGAGCTCAGTGAGGAGAGTTCTAGGAGCTGATTGGAGGGAAGAGACAAACCCATTCCATACAGCACACAGGAAAAGAGAGCTGATGCTGTCAATCTGCTGGAGGCCCCTCCCCTGTCACCATTTTTCTCTTGGTGTCAGAAGACTTATCAGAAGTGACTCATGCTGATAGCAGAGGAGAAGCAGCAGACTGAAATGACACTTAGTGCTCTTAATTGAGACAAGTACACACTATAGAGGGGTATGCTTTGTTCATATTTCATACATGAGGTTTACAACCGCTTTATCTGAAAACACTGAATTAGTTCTGACTGGTTGCTATTGGTCTCCACCCTTTGCCTACTCTGTGCATTGCCTTATTGAAGTCTAAGGATGGCCATAGGTGACTCGTTTTTTTCCATCAACCAGGGGGCTGATGTAAAAAAAAAATTTAAAAAAAATGGACTCCCCATTCACACAAGCAAGGTGGATGAAGGATTCCTCCCTGCTGTGCCATTGTATACTGACAGTGGGGACTCCTCCGCTGTCTGAATATATTGACCAGCAATTGCAGCAGCTGACCAAAGAAAGTTTTCCAACATTCCTGTTCAACAGAAGTACAACATTAGATTGAATTCTGTCAGTGGGAATGACCATACATGGACCGATATCCATCCAGTCCCTGCTGAACCGGACTAATTTCGATCCATCTATGGCCAGCTTAAATAAGACCTAGAGTCCCCAACAAACAATTTGTTCTAAGTAATAAGTGAGCCGCTGCATGCCCATTTTTTCCTCTTGATCAGAGGCCCCCATTAGCCCAAAGAATGAACTGCTGATCCATACAGGTAGCAAGCAGTAACCTGGACTCAATCCCATCACATCAGAGCTCTGACAATGTGTATAAACACAACTGAAGCCACAGGTTAATCCTTCAGTGACAGAACATCTGTCATGGACCGCTGCACTACAGACATGCCCGTGTTCCTGAAAATGACTTGTCTTTCTGGGAATCCTCACAGCGACTGTATAATATACATGTTTCTTCACTGATTTAACTGAATTTTAAGGAGTGCAAACACATCGGCAAGTCATGTCAGGCTGGAACATAAATGAGAAAGAATGGCATTTATCATACTTACCTAACAATGCAAATAGAAAAATATAGAAAATGGAATACAATGAAATTATATTGACAAAAGCAATGGAGAAAGAACAGCACAGCAGGAGCTTCGGAGGTGAGGATCGTGATGTAGCAAATGTATAGGTTTTTCAGGAGAGACAAGAAAGGTGCCCAGTGATAGCAAAAGATCAGTTTTGGCTCTTGAGATTTTGGCATCACTTCCACAGCGCTGTTCATCAGCCTATTGCTAGGACTGTATTTTCATTTTGTGAGAATAAATTATATCCTTATTATCTAAAAACTATCCAAGCACATCTACTACTCAATGGCCCAGTAATCAATTTTTCAATAAATTGTTTTTCATAGGCTCGGTTAAGACTTATGGCAAGGGTGCCATGCTTCTGAAAAGCAATCCACAGTCATATTGCTTTTCATAGGCGTTTGACTGGTGGTGTGGAGGTGATATGCCTGTTTAAATGCTTCACCACCACCCCACAACCATGTGCATTGCATGCGGTCGTGACACAGCCTTATTGACTTAAATGGGTTGTCAGCAAAACGTGGAAGGTGGGATAATTGTTGCCTAAAAGTGAAGGTGGGATAATTGTCACCTAAAAGTGAGCAGAGTAGGCGATAGTCTGATAAATTGGGGTAGAGAGTTACAGAGGATGGAGGAGGCTCTGGAGAAGTCCTGAAGACGAGCATGGGAGGAGGAGACAAAGGAGCTAGAGAGCAGGAGGTCGTGGGAGGAGCGGAGAGGACGGTTTGGGTGATATTTGGAGACAAGATTGGTGATGTAATTTGGGGAAGAGTTATAAACGGCTTTATATGTGATTGTTAATGTTTTGAAAACCTCTCTCTTCAGGGAAGCCTATCCTACCTTCAGCTAATAATGGAATCTTCTATTCCTCCTACCAGTTCACCCCCCACAGTTATTACCTTTTGTACCACTAGCCCCTCCCTCTTAGATTGTAAGCTCCAAGGATCAGGGCTCTCCTTTTCTCCACTCTATTTGTTTGGAACAGGCAGTGCCTGTTAGTTGTGGTCATGTTCATTGCTCTGTGCACACTACAAATCCTATAGTCCATAGACCATCTCCAGAGTGAGTGAGAGGGTGGCTACATTCCTACATACAATTGGACCATGGAGAACAAATGTAGCCACCCTCTACAAGAAAGAAATCACAGCAGCAAAAAATAAAAAAAGGAATTTGGAGATTTGAAAGGCGCTGAGAGCAATAAAAGGGCTTTTTGTGAGTTAAGAATACATTCTTAGTGGATGCCCTTATACGTTTCATAAAATATGGGGTATTTTGGTGGATTCTCCAGATTCACTTGAGGATCGGGGACACTTAGACTTAACCCAGGTGTATTTCAGTGTTCCTTTCTATAGATCTAACTCTGATCCCTGACTGGTTATTCTCATTGGTCTGGAGCCCATGAATTGCCATTCCTGTACAATTCCAAGTTGGGAGTTTGTTCTGGAGTTTTGGTGTTTAAGATTGTCCTGTTATACCTTGAGAATGAGCGTACAGGTTATAAAATGTTAATTGTTACAATTATGTTGTAACTTGTTTAGGTGTAATACCGAGCCTGGGTATGCCTTATAGGCTCTGTTT